GCCGGAATGGCCTCAATTATGGAGCCTTGCCCACCACCTGGACTGTTAAACTGCACACTTCGTTGGTCAACTGGAAAAACTTCAAAGCGGAATCGCGACATTTGCTCTTAAGGGCATCCCTTAACCCCACATCGCATCAAAAGATGTGAGTTGGCCTCCCCCCAACGGCCAGCTGTTTATGACCAAGGCAGCCGTCACAGTGGAGGCCACCTTTGCCAAGGACTCTGGTGGGGGGAAGGGTTTAGGGTTTAGGGTGATTCTCCAGGCAACTATGTAGCATAGACTGTCGGTCACGTAGCTATGAGAAAAAGGTGGGCATTCTCAACAGGGCAAAACAACTGGCTATTCAGGCGCAGCGCTTGCAGGTAAGGCAACGAGGCTGCAACGACCCATTTTGTTCCTGTATCGAATGCTCATCCCTAAGCATATACTGCGCCTACCTAGACCTCGGGGAACAAAGCACATTCATGTCACAAACACCCTGCGAGCGGGATCTCCAGAAAAGATCCTTCAAGTTTAGGTGGTTTGGGGTTCTCTCAGCGCAAAGCAATGGCTGAGTTCAGAAGTTTGCGGATAGCGCGAACGAACATGCACAAATCAAGGGCGTCAACTGCTACAGTAGAGGCTTTAGGAAGTCAGTCTTGTATCCCCTTAACTCATCCGCAGCACAAATGGATCCGAAGATACTGCGTCAGCCGATCTTCGTCTTGCAGCGGATGTTCTCTGGTAGGGCCAGCAGAGTGCTACACATCTTTTACATGTAAACTCCTTTATCATGTAAACTCATGTGACACACATCTGGATAATCGCCTTTTTCCAGCACGTAGCTCTCATTTGGAGGTTGCAACTTCCAGAATTATTCCCAACTAGCTAAATCTCATGAATCACCAGAACAATTACAACTGTTTGTCAAAGCCCGCCCCTCAGCAACTAAACCCTTAGCCTTAGCCCTGCTACCTGCAGGAAAGGCGAGCCGAAGGCGGCACCAAACAGTAAATTCCTTGGCATAGAAGGTTTACGGGTTCAGGATCCTAGAAATCTATGGGGATCCCATTGCTCGCGATCTAGGCTGGGGTGGACTGAAGGAAACTTCGCGCTCATCTGCTGAACGCTGAACTTGAAGATACCCTGCTGCGCCATTCCGGTTCCTATACAGACATCCAACATGAGGAGGATGCTTCCAAGCTTACTGGTGGGAATGGAGGAGTGGATCCCCATAGCTTGCCAGTCCCTACAACCCAGATGCCATCGTGCGGGTTTGGGTTTGGGTCTCAGGCTTGGGTAATCAGTTTTCTGTAAGTTTCATGGTTACTTGTGTTGAGCCATAAGTCCCTTGAAAAGGTTTCAAGCGCGACAAGACTAATTGCAGCCGGACCTTATAACAACCCATCAATGAATGCAGTATTTCGGGGAAAGGTATGCGTCTGTCATTTTGGAGAAACCTTGCTGGGTCCTGGCACCTGCACAAAGTCAGGATTCAAGACGCCGGGTGATGCCTCTGTCAATACCAAAAGCTAAGCCTCAGGGCTAAAGTATCTACCAAGGACATACTGCTCCAAACATTACACTTTGTGCTACATTCGACTTCTAGCGTCCAACTCCTCAGCACTCAGCTGCTGGGCAAATGCAAGCTTCAGTAATCAGTTTCATACGAGCATGAACAAATACTACCCCAACTTACCCAGAATCAAATGGAAACAAGGCCATGGAACGTGGAATGGACATATAAGTCCTTTGGATGGGTTATGAGCATAGATAGGGGGCTTCAGGGTCAGACTCATGAAGAATCACGTGAAAAGAAACAATGAAAATTGAATGAGAACTGGGCGTATGTAGAAGGTAAGGAGCCTTGATACGCTTTTTCTATGGAGCCTCGATCTTTTCAGGTTCGCTTCCCGGGCCTGGAACGGACACGTAGCTGCTTGTCCGGGACTTTCTCTGGGCATGTTCCCCCTGAACCAAGGAAGGTCAGGTCAGCCTAACAGAACATCCTTGATCACATGTGGTTTGTTTCGGATCCGCAGAAGGAGCTTTGGCTTGAACGATGGTGGCAATCCGCTCTGACTGCCAGCCTAAGCATTGCCTCCAACTCGAAAAGCCACTGCCCCGGCTACCCAAGACCGAAACAAGCCAGAGCCTTGGGCCTTAACTTGTACACTCCGGGTGTAAAACATATTCAACCATTGCAGCCCCAGCCCAAACAAAAACACGCAGTCTTCTGATTCTGAGTACTGGTGTATGCTGAAAGCTTCCCAAAGCTGAGCCCTCCAACACGCCCTACATCACAAATCGCACCCCAAAGCCTGCACCCCGAGCGAGACAGATTGTGAGCCTCATAGCTGAATGCAAAAAATCCTGCCTGCTCCACTTCCCCTGGTTCTGAAACAAGCAGCGTCCCCTTTCTGGGTTCCAGCGGCCTTGGCTGAGCATGTGGACTGTGATGTCCTCCGTAACATCTCTAAGTAATTGGGGGTTTCGAACCTTGCCAAGGAAGGAAAGCGAATGGCTCCAACTTCACCGGGGGATTATGCACTTCCGTCCCAGCTGAGTCCAGGCCAGCTGCGTTGAAGCCAAAGGCCACTCAGGTCAAAAGTAGAAGAGTCCGTACCATACAGACAAATGTAAGGACGCGGGAAGGAGCCCGTTGTTACCCTTACTTTTGAAATCGCATTGCGGACAAGTGTTGCAAGCTTGAGGGTCGCTTCAGGTTGCTCGGTTTGGGGAGTAGGTCTTAACTGCAGCCCTCCGTGAATGAATCAGCCGAACTAAACGGAAATCTTAATCCTAATAAAACCTAAACCTGGACCCGGTGCTGGGTGGCCCACAGTGCTCACTGCTCACAGAGAGGAACTCAAACACGATTGCTAAGTTGGCAAAACAGCATGAAGCCTTGAAACAGGGAATATGCGAAAAAGTGATTGCAGGATGCAGCAAAAGAATACAAAAGATGCATGGCTTCAGCCAACGCTTTTCTACGTGCTAGCAATCCTTCCTTGGGGCCACTGGCTTGGGGTTTCCGGAACTCAGCTATGACGAGCAACACTTGCGCAAAACAATTGATGTTTACAGCACAGGGCCGGGGAGGGAGGGGAGGGTAAGGTCTACCCCAAATACCAAAAAAGACCCATCCGCTGCTCCGTCTCCGTTCATATGCCTGGAAACCCCAATGCCCTCGACGTCGGCCTAACAAAATGTCCCAATGCCTCCGTCAGAGGTTTAATGGACGTCATGCCACAAATTTGCAAGTCGCGCGCCCAACGCTGTAAGGCCTCAGCACACAGCTAGCTGGCTGCTCAGGTAAAGTGTTTGTATACAGGGCGCGTATCATTTCACGCCGCGTGTTACGCATTTATATAGCTGCCGCAAACAAATAAAGTCAAATACAGTATTATCTCCAATTCTGCAATGTGTACGCTTCACGGAAACAAGTCACAGGTGGATGGCGTGCAAGCTGGGGTTTTGTGGGTCTGGGATTTGAGGTTTTGGCATTTCACATCAGGCTCCAGAGGGCTGGAGGGAGAGAGAGCGAAAGAATGCCGCATGCTCGGGTGTAGCTAGGCAGCAGACGCTCGAAGACTTGTCGACGCCCCAAAATCCTAAACTGACACCTTAAAAAAATGAACCCAACAATCTCAAAGCTGGAATTTTCCCAAACCTCACCTCTGGAAGCTCAGCTTCAAGTGTCTGGGGCTCATAGGCGTTCGTCTCCACTCCGAACCCGCAGTCCGCAAAGCCGAAAATTCAGTGAGACTTATATTACTTTCAAAAGCAGCGTAGCTCCTAGGATTAGATAGATAACTCAATTGCAAAAGGATGCGGGGGCCATCTCAACATGCGCAGGGTCTCTCGACTGGGCAAACTGAATTCAGAACCCCATGTAGCCCGTGAACCCATTGCAATGACAAAAACAGAGCAATCCAGTAGGGCACAGCACGGATACGTTAGGAACTCAGTTGGCTGTCAGCCATCAAGACGTTGTCGTTGTAATCAACCATTTTCACCACCATAATCACCATACTACACGCTGCAATGTCTTTGCACATGTGAACATGCATGCAGCCATAATATGCACCCCGTTCCAGAAACGTAGCCACCAGAGTCCCCATCTCATGAAAGAAAGTTGTGGGGGTGGTTGGGGCGCACTCCTGGATCTCAGGTTGACAGATACGCCCAACCTCAACAGCTTGAAATCCTAAATCCTATGTAGGAACAAACAAAAAAAACACCTTCCATGTTCACTTCAACTGACTGTCATAGGGTACAGGAAAATCAAACCTCGAACCAGCATATGGCCAAACAACCCCTAGACCTGAAACACGTCATCCCAGCATGAAAGGCAGGTGGCTCTCCTCGCTGGAGAGCGCGCCGAGCCTCTGGGATGACGGGGTAAGAGCTCTGGATGCACAGCAATAAAAATCAGCAAAAAAAGTTGCCAAGAAGCACTAACAAGAAACATAGCGCAATCACAGGAGTGACCATGACGATAATTAGGATGATGATGATGGTGATGATGAATGTTAATCCAGCAGAGCTGAGAGGAAGATTCTGCTGCTTCCACCGGCCATTCGTGGCTCCAGTGAGGGAAGGGAGGGCGGTAGTTGAGCCTGGGAAAAGAAGGACAGGGTCCTCGGGACAAGCGGGGCTACCTTTTGGGCTTCTGAGGTCAAGGGCATGCTTCACCACTTTCAGGACTCCGGGGCGAAGTCACTTCAGGCCAGGGGTCTTGATCCAACAGGGCTCTTTCACACAGGGTCTGTAGGCAAGCAGGGTCTTTCAGGTTCAGGGTGGCGGGTCCGGACTACCATTTTCACATCATTTTCACACTGGTAGCGGAGCCCGGCCTGTCTTTATCTACGGGGTGTGGATAAAGTAAACGGGGTTCTGCAGACTCGGTAGCGTGTGCGCGCCATGGGAAAGTGAGGCTGCGGAGGCTTCACAAGGGAGCTTTGGAGGTGGCTCGAGCCGTTCACCTTGGCAGCAAATCCCGAAGTTCACGCCAGGAGTGACGAATGTGGATGAGTATGTGCAGCGCCTCAAGCTTCTTAAGGAACTCTGGCCAACGGAGCACCTCCACCTGCTGGGTCCAAGGGTAGCTCTGCAGGTTGAGGGGTCGGCCTTTCAGAAGATCAGCAGGATGTCCTCTGAACAGTTGACAAAGCGATGGAGTTAAGATTCTGGTGGAGTCCTTCGGAGGATCGTGGGGTCGCACGCAGACGGAGGAGAAGTACCACTTCTTCGAGCAGGCGATTTTCCAGGTCGTCCAACGAAGCGACGAAACCAGTGAAAGCTGTGTGGCCAGGCATGACGCCTACTTTAAGGAACTGGTTGCCCGCAGCGTCACTCTGGAGGAGGTTCGAGCCTACATTCTCCTTCGCCATTCCCAATTGGCAGCCGAAGATAAGAAGAAGGTCGTCGTGGACTGCTAATCTCGAATCGTTTGTTGCATGACTTGGACGCAGTTATTTGCAATTGCCGGATAGAAGTGTAACTTTAAGGTGGGATCCAACAGCGTTATCAATGGTTGATTTGTCGGAGTTGCTGTGGCATGCGTCTGCAGAGCGCTTGCAAACAACATGCAGCTGCAGCAGCAGCAGCAGCAGCAGCAGCAGCAGTAGCAGCAGCAGCCCCTGCAGCAGCTGGACGGTCAGAAGGACACAATGTGTGACCAAGCAGCCACAATCAGCTCAACATCCGTGCGATCCCGCCACCCAGCCGGAAGCCTTCCCACCCTTGCAGCACGCAGGCCATCTCACGCAAGCACGTTCAGGACCCTCAGGAGAACATGCCCAACCACAGCCTGGACGGTCCCTGAGCGAGGGGAAAATCCGACTGGAGGAGTACCTGGCCGCCAAGTATGTGCGCCCGCAGGGCATCGAGACCGTGAGGGAGTGGAGTGCCATCTCCCCTCCCCTCAGGGAAGCACAAGGGCAAGAGTTACGGCACCGTGTTAGAAGTGGCACTCATGTCCAGCCAGTGGGCAAAACCATTCAAGAACTACAGTATTTACAGCATTGCCCGCTAGTGCCCGCTACCGAGCCATGGCCGAGGCCATGGCCGAGGCCAAGTTCGGGAACAAGGAGGCCGTGAGAACGCGTCCAAGACGGAGAAGATGGGCAAGGAATGGCAAGGATCCGGTGATTCCGAGACAGATAAGACGGAGCAAGACAAGGACAGCAAGACCGAGTGCATGGATGGAAGCCGTGTCCGAGGGCCAGATTTCGAGCTCGTCAGCCTGCGCAAAGGTGGCAATCGTGAAGGGCAATGAAGGAGGACATTTTGGCGGAGCAGAAGCTCGGGCTCCTTACCAACCAGGTGCTCCTGCGTCGCGAGCTGGCGCAGTTGGAGCAGACTCTGGAGAAGGGCAATGAGGCAGAGATTGCCAGGCATGTGCTCAAGCTGGGGACGCCGGCCAGCATGCGCTGCATTCCCCACATGTCTGCAAGAAAATTGATGTCTATGTCCAGCACACTGAAGAACAGTTGGCAGAGATACAAGGAGACGCAGATTTTCAAGATTGGATGTGATACAAACTTCGACGGCTTGACGTGCTTGAAGTTAGCGGGCAGATAGCAGCTTAAGCGGGGCAGCCCGGAAGCGCCAGGGCCGAGTACTTTCCCTCAAGAGTTGTCAGAGCAACAAGAACTGGCAGATGTTGCATATGTATGAGCCCCGGCATCTCTGGATTCAACGCGGCAGCACGGCACCCTCGAAGGTATTTGGGTCAACAGCGTCCCTCCAAGCCATGTGTGAGTTCCAAATCGAAATGGCCGTAATTTTTTTGCTGTGGCCAAAATATCTTGGAGGATCCCGATATGGCAGCCCATCCGGATCTTCAGATGATTCTTGAGGAGACCCTTCATGCCTGCTATCTGCCACCACAACGAGTCAGCGTGGAAAGGATGCAGGGAAACAATTTTCTCAGTCAATCACGGACAAGGATGGGCTATGGGGGTACCAGCAGGTATTGTCTTAGGGCTCCCAAGGCTGGGCTGTTACTTTGAATTCCTCAACCCTATAGTATACTACGTATGACAGAAAAGTGGGATTCCTCTAAATTCCTTAGACCCTTAAACTACTTGAGTTTCGATTTTCTGGCCCTCGTTTTTGGAGTTAGTAGGCAGTTGCAGCTCAAGGCAATGCTTTTCATCCAAAAATGTCGAACATTCCCGTATGCATACACTCTAACCATGAACTCTTGAATCCAGCGGTGACCTGTAGGTACGCAAGTTCAATCAGTCACCTGCAACCCGCATAAGGTTCCCACTTCATCTGCCCCTTCCGTACTTAGTTTCCACAGACGTGATGATTTCTACACGTGGCTCCAGCATGCTCCATGTTTGCCTTCCCGTTGCCTTGCCCACCGACCCCTGAAGATTCGCTGTTGGGTGGCAAGGCAGCCAGCATGCGGCATTTACAGCTACAGAAAGAACGTCTGCTTTTCCATGTAGAAAAATCAGAGAAGTAGAATATAGTAGAATATGACATGGATTCAGACAAGGATCCAATCCCCAACCCCAAAAACCGAGAAGGCAGTCAACCTAAACTTCTGAAATCTCGAAACATGAAAGCTCTAAACATCTGAAAGCTTGAGTGCTAAACCCAAAGCCTCGTTAGCCGCTTCACGGCTGCGTTGCTCTGTTGAGTGGAGGGTGGTGACCACAGCCTCCGTGTTAAAGCTCTGTCTTGGACTCCGTATGGGAACCGAACTTAACATCAAATTCACAACTAATGGACCCTTTTGTGGTTCTATAGGACGATGCTGTGGTCAGACAGGCTATACAGCAAGACTAGGGACTCTGACATCGCCATGCTAATTGGGAGTAAAAGAATAGTAAGAAAACCAACTGGGGCAATACGCATCCAAAAACAAGCTTAAGGGTAGCTAAAGTTAAGTAGCTCAGTGGCTACGAGGCGGGGATGTAGGAGTTAGTGGCTCCGGGGTGAAGAATGCGGGGGGCATTGGATTCTGTTGGATTCTTGCGACTCGAATGCAAAATCTTGAAGAAGTCCAACAAAGAATAGGCCTCACCATTTCTAGATGGAGGTTTCTCAAATTTATGGGCTCCCTTCTGGATCCTTGCATTCAGCTGGGGATGCCAATATAAGAAATCCGAAGCATCAGCACCGACATCGGAATCTGTGGGATAGCGTCCCCTCCGCTACTTTATCATTGAAAGCATGCTCGTTGAGGACCACTGCCCATTCAAAGCAAGCCTGTGTGCGGTTCCCGCTTTGCTTTGGGGGAGGGTGATCCAAATTCAAAAAGTTCCTACGACCACGATAACTCAGGTGTGCAGACTCAACATTGGTGAAGGTACCAAACTGGGGGCTCCATGAAATGCTCCCAAGAATGTTCGCGAAATTTCAGCAGAAAGCTTAGAGTCGAGGTTAGAGCCTCGAGTTAGAGCTTTGGGCGGCGTCACATCGGCCATGTTCCCAAGGGTGGCAAGGAGACATCAATTACGGGTCGAAACTCTGAACCTCCAGATTCAAAAGCGGAATGGGATGCCTTGCGATTTGCAAAGTTCATCGAGATTTGTGGCACCCTGGGCGATTTGGAAGTTCTTGTCTTAAGAAGGTTGCTATGAGATACGCATGCGGCTCCGTTACGTATTCAGGCCCTCAAAACTGCATACCCGCAGAAGCCTGCCCGGATCACACGAGTGGAACCCAAACCTTCTGCGTAGCACGGCACATTCTGTAAAGCCAAACGAAATTTGTCAGATGTCCATGTGCCCTCCATCAAGAGTAGCCGAAGATTTACGTGAAGGATCTTGAAGCAGGTTTACTATCCCTCAGGCCCTCAGGATTCAAATGCCAGTATGGTACTTACTTGGGGCCAATATAGCCCAAATGTCTACATTCGCATAGCTAGTTGGTCCTCTGTGAGGGTCATGCCTACCCCACAACGCGTGGGGTCTCTCGTGAACCGTTTTCCAAAAAGTTCCGCCAGATGACCTCGCCAGGAAAAAGTGATTCGTACAATCAAGTTTAGACGTGAGAAAATTCTGTATCTGTAGGCCCTGAACACCAAAAAAGCACTCGACTCATGGCCTTTAGTTTCAAGGCTACCTCCCAACAGAATCCAAGAACACCTAACCCGAAACTGAGGCCTACGGAAGCCAAGCTAACCCCAAACCCTAATCTGGACCAACCAGCGCCTGCTGGCAACTGCAGCGGCCCCTGTTAGTTCAAGGAGCGCGGGTAAGCCTGCTGCATCTTGTATTACTGAAGCAATAAAGGTTCGTGGCACCTTCTCCGTTTCTCATATCCTGTGTGGCTTTTGCCGGCTTTATGTCTTGCATGCTAGCCCAGCAACAAAGTATCCCAAAAGCAAGACTGGGCTTGAGGGGGTGAAGGATTTATGCCTCCATGGAAAAAGTGAAGATTTGTAGTGACCATGGTGCAAGTAGTGATGAGTCCAGGCTGAGGGTTCTGGATACAATGCATGCGACCTGACTCGCTTTCTCTAGCTTTCCGTGCCTAACCCCTAGGCACCCACCGCACAATGCATCCGCATGGCTGAACTGTCTGTGAACTTGTCATTTAGGATTTCGGAAAACTTTGTAAGAGCAGTTCCAGGTTGGGTTAGGCCGGTTAGGCTCTACTACTATCTCCACTATAACTACAATCAGTACTACGATTATGATAATGACGACTGTTCTTGCTGTTATTCCTATTATTACTGGTAGTCGTAATAGTATACCTACTGCTATTATGTTATTAGTTTCATTTCTGTTCTTAGTATCATTATTATTGCTATGACTGATCTCACTATTATCCTGGCTACTGTTGTGACTGTGGATGCTCTTGTGTGCGAGACACCAAAATCCTAGACCTATTTGCTCACCGTCTTCCAGTGGGGCTTGGATGGAAAATGGGGGTTTGAAGCTCAAGCCTTGGTAATTGTCCCACACCCAGGAAGCCCACATATCTAGGAATTAAGAACGGACCCTTCATTTGCTAGAACCTCCTGGGGGCAGACCTGGCCTTGACATTTGAGAGCTAAGCCAATGACACGAAACCCTGGCTCCGAAATCCCTATACCCGCCCCAACCATCTGCATGCGACCAACTTCTCAGCATTAGAAATCGAATTATCCTATCTCAGGTCTGGGATGCCTTCCCTCGTGCTAGGCTAATCCCAAGCCAGCCTAGGCAATAGCACATGCTCGGGTCACCTGCGCCTGTAAATACATGCCTGGATGCCTGCAGCATGAATTCGGAGTAGGAGTGGCTCCAAAGGTGTCCGTTTAACCTCTGGCTCCTGGTGCGCCTTGGCTTTGGGATTTCAAGGAGTATGCTTGTCAGGGGGCAGTTTGAGTTTGGTGCTTATGGGTTTAGAGCTCAGGCTTGCGGTAGAAGCCTGCATCATTTGCAAAGGTATTTTGCCCAGAATGGACGACACAGGGTTCTGTCCGAGAAAG